AAAAATAGTTGTGAAGGCCAATTGTCAAGACAGATTGCCACATCAGGCGGTAGGCATCATCTAAAGGGAAGCGACATTTGCTGGCCCAGCTTTTCTTGCAGTCTGTGTGTCCCAATCCACTGTCACACAGTGTCTGGTTGGCCTGACGCCCAACTCTGCTTCAACTGTTCAACCTAAACCTTTGCAATCGTCCACTGCTTTTCAGCCAAAGCACACCCTCTATTGAGTCAATCATTCTTTGATTTGCTGGAACTGAAGGCAGCTCGAGATTCGCACTGACTGATGTGTTTCCTCTGTTGAACGCACTCCGCGGACCGAACCACTTCGTCTTGGCGCGGTTCTCGTCTCGTCTCGTCTCGACCGATTCGGTTTCATCGAGTCGTTGGATCGTCACACGACATGCCACAGATGTTCCAAGGTGTGTTCCAAACGCCACCTCCAAGGTGTGTTCCGTGGACGTGATAGTAGCCAACACCAAGTCAGCCCAAGGATCTTGACGGAGCATGACGTGGGCCTCACCGCATGCGACACCCCGAACAGCGCTGTGATGCCGAGCATCGACTGACATGCCAAGGCTGGCACCAGGCCGGACGCGACAACCAATGCGAAGCCAACGCGAAGCCATCGTTGTTTTGGAAGAGGACTTCAATGGACGTTTGGACTGGACATGACCAGTCTTGCAAATCTAGGAAGTACTTTGGAAGACTGCAATCCAGTTTTCCAGTGAGCAGTGAAGCTGTGAGTGGTAGTTGCGAAAAAGGGTCAGTCAGCAGGTTTGTCCTTCGGCTTCGCAGATTGTGCCTTTCCAAGCCGTCTTGAGGAAACCCAACCCGTCTTGAGGAAACTAAACTCTTTAAGGGCACATAATACTACCTACGTTACACTTACTTAAACCTTATTTGGACAACTAGCACAGAATACAGGCAATTACCAACCGTGTATGGCAGTGTCCTATTGTATGTAGGTGTGAAGAGCATTTATCAAGGCAGATTGTAAAGCCAAGCAGCATACTTCGGTGGAACAGGAGCCGATATTGCCGGCCAAGGGTTCTTTTGAAGTCCCCGTGACCAAATCCACCACTGGACGGAAAGTTCTCTAGCTCAAGGCCCTGCTTTACGTCAATCTTGACAGTTGCGCCTTTCAAGTGTGTGTGCACCGCAAAACTGGCAATAAGCCATGGGTCCTTCTTACAAAAGACTTTTGCTCTATCACTTTTGCGGAAGCGATGAATCATCTGGTACGCACCCGACGATAAAGTCAATGAGCAGGTTTGCTCCATGGGTTTGTCCGGCGCGCCATTCAATCAATCAATCGATAACTTTGCCTTTATAGGAGTGCCTATACCCTTCACTTGAACGTTATTTGCTACTTGGAAATGGCACCGAAATACAAACAATTACCAACCGTGTATGGCAGTGTCCTATTATATGCAGGCGTGAAATGGCGTGAAGGGCATTTATCAAGGCAGATTGTAAAGCCAAGCAGCATACTTCGGTGGAACAGGAGCCGATTTTGCCAGCCAAGGGTTCTTTTGAAGTCCCCGTGACCAAATCCACTTGGACGGAAAGTTCTCTAGCTCAAGGCCATGCTTTACGTCAATCTTGACAGTTGCACCGTCCAATTGAGCAGCGGCGCCGCGAATCTGGCGACACGACATGAGTCCTTTGTACAAAAGACTTTTGCTCTTTCACTTTTGCGGAAGCGATGAATCATCTGGTACCTACGAATCAGGCCACAAAGTCAGTCAGGAGGTATGTTTTTTGGGTTGTACATCACGCCAGACAAAAAGGGAGCGGAAACGCATCTCGAGGAAACTCAATTGTGTGCTGGAAGCAGGCATCATCGGTTTCTTTTGTATGATATGCCACTTAGAACGAAACAGATAGCGCGCGGGGATTTGGAATAAGTAAGGCTGGCGTCTGTGTTTGTAACTCTTTCGTGAAGCCGAATCCGGGTTATTTGTACAAGAGCTTTTCAATACATGGCATCAGTACCCCAAAGAGACACCCAGAAGTCTTTCGATTTCAGACAGCAGAAAGACGTGGACTGCGCCTGTCATCGTCACTCAAGTCCTTTTGGCGTTCATCGTGTCCGTGTTCGTTTCTTTCGAAGCGGAAGCGAGAGCATCTGAAGCGCGGATCTGAGGTTCGTTGGGTTCTGCCATTGCCCCACTTGGATAAACTCAGACGTGATTCTTCGTGAAAAAGCTCCATCTCGGATTGGGATGACCGGAGCTCTTTGGGTGTGACCCCTGACATTCAGGACGACTCCGCACTCGTAGCTAGCTTCATGAATTTCGCAGGTTCGAATCCTGGAAGGTGCAGATCGCTTCGACCAACGCCTTGGAGCTGAGTGACATACCCCTTGGAGTCAGACCCAGTTGGCCACCGTCTCTTCTCATGATTGAGCTGAGGTTCTTTACAGTTCATGTCTTTTTTTGAGGACCCAGAAAGGCTGAGCAGTTGAGCTGATGAGCTTCAGGTTAAGTCCTCCAAGTGGCCGTGTTTGGCTTCGAACTGTGGAGGAAGATGAGCCGGCCATGTCACCTGTCCGTGCGCCACACGAGGGTGACACAGGACAGACGCGCCGATCATATAGAGACGACCTGTCAGGCGTCTCAGGTTCGCTTTGTTTCGCTTGGATCCCGCCGTCTGCGGCCCTAGTGCATCTGCATTTTCATTTGCTGCTGCCACATGTGTGGCTAGTGTGGTCCACGACCATCAGTGTGCTCAAACAGCACCAGCGTTTGGTGCCACAAATCTATGCTTTTGTACGACTGACCCACAAAGCCCACCCATCAGATTTCCCTAGACATAGGTAGGACCCAGCAGAATTCCTTTTCGCCAGATGCAAGTAACAACTTATCACAGTGGAACCAGTTGAAAGGCATTGATGTAGCCACCTTGACAATTGACACGTCCATCTAAGTTCCACGACTGTTGTTCCCCATTGCAGATTTCATTATCTGAGGATAGTTCTTTCCTGTCGACCATGATGCTTGTAGTGCCGCTTGAAGCCCTTCGTGGAAGCTGTTTTAGTTTTAAACGAAATGGCTCATGTCGATGGCAGGGAAGCAGGAACATGGAAATCCGAAGTGTTTGGAGTGCTCTCAATCAAATGATTGACATCACCAGATAAGTTGAATGCCTAAGCATTTGGGCAGTTTGCAGTGCCTGAAGCACTCGCGCTGGGCTGCTCAGCTGACAAAGCTCAGCCGTTCCACAACAAAAAAAAGTACTACCAGTGCGGCGGGGCAATATGGAGAGGAGCAACGTGTAGAGAAGCGACCATGTCTCATGATTTGTACTGTATTTGATTTGTGTCGAAATGCTTCTAAACACAGCACTTCAGAAAATAGTGAATAGATCCAACATACATGCTATGAATGTCGATAGGAACAGTACTTGTCGTTGTATTTGGTGTTGTACTTTGGCTCAAGGACTCAGGTAGCTACTGAATATTCTTCCAACATGTTTTGGTTTATCTCTATTTTGGTTTGTCTTGTAGCGCACATCACAAGAACATCTCCAACAACCAAGGGTACAAATTTGGTAGGATTGTTTCTGAGCTATTCTGAGCCTGAGCCCCTCCTTTTTTGGGGGGGCAGGGAACTCCCAACAATCACCGATTCGCCAACTACTTTGAGGTGCCAACAACTTGGTCTGCAGATATATATACTCATTCATGATCATCATACATTACGCCGTATCAAACGTTCATCATTCATATTTGGTTGCTATAACAGTCCTGGCAGCTCCACTCCTGGCACGATTCGCCGGCTTCGGGGCTCATGGAGGCGCCGGCTCGACGCGAAGAGATGACTCCGGTCGAACGGAGCGTCATGGTCGAACGGCACGTGACGGGTTAGTTGGTTGAAAGAGGTGAACCTTGGAGCATTGATTTTTGGTTTAAAGAGGTTCCTCATGGTTCCTCGGATTTGGATTTTGGTGATTGGATGTCTCACAAGGCACGCGCTGAAGTCTATTTAGATAGAACATCTATGTATTCTACGGGAACGGCTCGAAGATGCGCCCAAGAAGCGTGTCTCCTCTGAGGTTTTGAGCATTGGACCACATGGCCAGGATCGGAGAGAACGAGGCCGGCCTCGTTTGGGCGAAACGAGTGCTCTTAGCAACATACCTATGTTTGGACCTATGTTAACCTATGTCGAAAATACTTGGTGAAGTTTTTGCCACGAACTGCGTGGGCACATTGTGGCTAAGGGTGGGTGTCTCATTGGTGGTGCTCCCATCCGTCGGCGGCTAATTCGCTGCTATTAACGGTATTCATTTACCTCGAGATAATCGAAGAAACTGTGTGAGCCCAAGCGGGCGCTTTCCGCGACTGCGCTCTCGTTTTGGTGCCGCGCGCATTTTCGGACTTGGTGGTCACTTTTCGAGGCGGGCGCAAGGGAAACCTCGTGTTTTGGTCGTCCAAAGTTGACGTGACACGGGCAGGAGACGGAGATTCTACTTCGATGTGCGGATTTCGTGGCGTGCGCAGTACTTTGGACATGTCTTCGGCGCACTCTGAGTTCGCAGCAGGCGTCAAGAACCTAGGTCCAAGGTGTTGCTACCAAGACTTTGAACACCTTTCAATGTGTGCTCATACTTTCACAGATCGGATTACCTGGAAGCATGAGACTCACTGTTGACGCCGGCGCTCTTGCAGCACCAGATTACTTGGAAACGATCGGCTTGACGCTGGTTCTTTAAGTCTTTGACAGCACCCGCTTACTCGGAAAGAATAGACTTGACACCGATACTCTTACAGCGCGGGTTTGCTTGGAAGCGTGAAACTTGACACCTGTACAAGTGCAGATTGACTTGGGAACTGTTTTCCTACAACGCAGGTCAAATCAGCCTGGCATGTTTTTTGTTGACTGTGTGCCACGAACAATCAAAAACTTGCTGCGCAATCTGTCACTCGCAGGAAGTCTTGGAAGACTTGTTGCCATTGCTATCAGTCTCGGAGGCGGTGCAATCATCCACTGCTCACGGAAGTCTCCAAGTTTCTCAGACCAGAACGGATGCCGCGCATCCAAAATTACATAGTGGAGTTCCACTAGCTTTCTCATGTTCACCAACTTCCAGTGACTGACGCGTCACAAAATGACTGACAAGTCCCATTGGCGACTCTGCACGTCCGACATCTTACCCTCCATGTTGCCTCACCAGGCAGGTGTCGCCTGACAGCCTCAAGAAGAGCCAGTGGACCGTGTCCTGCAGAGGTTGATGGTTGGTGGCAGCAATAGGTCTGGATTTTGTTGCGCGCCCGCTGATTCCACCAGATTGAGCGCTGAATGTGCGCGACGTCGTCCTCACCTCCACAAGGAACTCGAAGTTTCGGAGGTTGAGCCTGGTCCCAAGAAGCTCCAAGCGTTTCAAAGACGGCAAAGCCTTGTGGTAGGATTTGCAGAGAAGGAAAGAGCTGATTGTTCAGCTAAATGTTGCGCTGCGTATGCGGTATGTGGCACAGAGCGTTGCCCATCAATTTCCTTCCCAGGCGCTGGCCTCAGCGGGTGCGTTGCCCCGCCATCTCCAAGGCTTGTGAGTGACTGCGGGGTTGATCAAGCTCCATTTTCTCCATTGGTCTCGCCCCGCTCTTCACCTTGGCCTGCATGGCTGGGTTTTTCAGGCTGGACTCCTTGTTCACATGCGGACAGTCCTTCTGTGACATTTTCCACGACTAGGGATCCACACAAACTCGCGGGACTTGCTGGAGCACGTTCTGAGCTCTCTCAGCTAATTGGGGGCACTGGCCACCGCCACTCTCAAATACAAAATTGGTAGCGGCACAGTCGCAAACTTAGCGAGGCCCCGAATGTTTCTCAAATTTTGCGGTCCAGCTGTGAGAAGACCACAGCAAAAGCAGCGCGCCATTTTGTCTTGTGAGCCATTTGTGGCAACCGCCAAACGCGCAAAATGAGCGAGGGTAATTGACTCTTTCAAAAAAATGGGCATCAAACACCGGCTGAGGCGCAGCCACTTGCGGCCCAGGGCATTAGAAACAGCCTTGGCAAACAACCTCTCTTCAGCACGGTTTTCAGGTACCAAATCCACCGATCGAGTCAAGTGCGAGCACGAAGGAAACTTCTTGCCACACATGCAAAATGCCAAAGGAGCAACAACTTCTTCGTAGCAGTGCGATGCCAACAAGATGCACCAGTGGCCAAAGCTGCATGATTGCCAACGATTGCTAATAATGCGGCTCGCGTTCTTTGGCAAACAATTCACAATGTCCCCCGAACAGGCGCCGCATGGCTGCAGGAACACCAGGAGGTCTAAGACGTCAGCGACATTAGGACCGTCACGACGATGAACACTTCTGCAGAGGTCCGGAACCCATCCACCGCCCAGTCTTTGAGGACCAGCGGAGAATCAACACCGATCTCGAACTCGCGAACGCAACCTTAGGCGTATTGAGCATGTGCAGCGGACCGCCGCCCAAACAGCTGCAGCGTGTCCTGCACACAGCGTCACACCATGGCAACACAGTGAGACACCCACGCCAACTGAATCAAGCCACCCGGGTGGTCTGCAATGAAACATGAAAACATGCGCAGCAGTGCGTATCCATGTCATAGCCCACCACAGCCAGGCAACGCAGTCCACGCAGTATCGCGCAGACCACACCCACGCAAGCTCCACAAAACATCGTTGTGGACAATCTTCAAGGTCTTCACATCCTTGACGACCAAAGGATTTTGGACAATACCATTTTCTTGATCAACGCCTTCCTGCGCTAAGCGGGATTGGAAGGTCCCTCAAAAATGGCCAACTCATGGATTTCCAGCAGTCGAAGCTTAGTAAAGGGAGCCTCCCCCACAGAAACCAAGAAATGAGAAACGCCTGGCCTGGCGCATCACTGGCGTTCTTGACCTTGTGGAAGGTAATCGCCAACGCAGTGACATTCCAATCAGGAGGAGCTGCAGTGGAGAATTTCTTGGGTCGACGTTTGGAGCCAAAGGCCAGGTCAAACGGTTGGGCAGCTATGTTCTCCCTCCTTGACAGACTTCGCTTCGTTGTTTTTTGGCAGAGGTTGTGAGTTCCTTAAGACTTTCTACATCAAGGGCAAGCGGATTTTTTTTGGTGGTTCTTTGACCCTCGAAGGTTGCCCGCGCTCACCGACGAGAGCCGCTTCCTTCATGTACGTGTGGGGTGGCCTGGTGAAGCAAACTGGAGCGATCGTCATTATCTACTACATTGACGATCGCACTTTTTGGACTGTGTCAAAAAAACTGAGAAAGATCTTGGCTCGAGAGCACTGTGAACATCAAGCGCGGAAGCACGTTGAATGCCCCCCATCACAGAATCATCGGCCCATGATGGAACCACGGAGTCAAGCGCTTAACCAAGAGACGAGCGTCCGTTCGCCGGCAAATGCTAGCGACAGACAACGGAAGGGAGCAGTTCAACACACGTGGCCAAATCTCAGTCAATGCCTCCCCAAATCCTTATAGGGGAAGTAGGAGGAAGTGGTCAAGCTGCCAATCGTCAGGGCCGGCTGCGGCGACCCTTCAACTCCTGCCAAGAGAACGGACCAGCTCACGTTGCGAGCAAGAACTGCACCGTGCAGACTGTTCCTGTTACAAGACTTCGTCAGAATGAGCCGCCTTGCACATCGCAGAAGTGGGGCTCAAGAAACGCAGTGCTTCTTCGGCAGTAAAAGACTAGTAGTCCCAACGTCCATTCACCGGTCCCACCTGCGTCAAGTGGGTGAAAGATCAGGTTGTCCAGCTTTTGAGTAGTGCGTGAACGAAGGCCTCCACCCAGAGATTGCTGCTGCATCTTCGCCTCCTCTGCTGACCATGGACAGGGCCGCTGACTGGCAGATTGATGCCTTGTCCCATTGCAACGCCACCCTGCGCGAGCAACAACCCTTCTTCTCGTGCGCTGTCAATCTCGTATAGTTCCCCTTCGTTCGAGCAGGATCGGAGTTCCATGAGCCTGCGGTCAGCGGAGCGCGATTCTCGCATGGTTGACGCGGCCAACGTCACTCATAACCCACGGTGACGCCAAACCAAACCGCGTTGCTCTCTGTTTCTTGAGCCAAAGCAGTGGTGGGCCTTGCTGTCAAGGTTGTTGAAGTCGTTTGATGAGTGCCGGCATCGCAGTCAGAATTTTTGGTGGGCTCGCTGGACGACTTGGAGAGGTTCCCTCAGCTGGTCCAGTTAGACATGACGAGCAAACTAGGCCGTGCCAATTTCTCCCATTTATCTCCCGGACAAACTGCTCCCTACATTGGAAGTGCTTGCAATCTCTCAACACT